TATATATATATATATATATATATATATATATATATATATATATAATAAATATTACCTGGACTTTTCTCGCACCCCCTGGAATATCGTCTCGCACCCCCAGGGGGTGCAAGCACCCCAGGTTGGGAACCCCTGCACTAGAGTGAAAGCACTACTTCTGTTAGTTGCAGTCCAACCAATGCATTGTTGAAAAATATAAAAGAATAGGTTAATATTTATTTCGAGGGTGGGGGGGATGAGGCTAAACTTGTCTAGAATCATTAAGATGGAATGTTCTGCATTTTTGGATGCAAATATACGTGTTTTTTTAAATAAGAAGTGTACTGCATAAGTCTCTAACATTTTAGAATAGCATAGAACAGAACAGGATAACAGAGTTGGAAGGGACCTTGGAGGTCTTCTAGTCCAACCCCCTGCCTAGGCAGGAAGCCCTACACCACTTCAGACAAATAGTTATCCAACATCTTCTTAAAAACTTCCAGTGTTGGAGCATTCACAACTTGTTCCATTGATTAATTGTTCTGTCAGGAAATTTCTCCTTAGTTCTAAGTTGCTTCTCTCCTTGATTAGTTTCCACCCGCTGCTTCTTGTCCTGCCCTCAGGTGCTTTGGAGAATAGCTTGACTCCCTCTTCTTTGGGGCAGCCCCTGAGATATTGGAAGACTGTTATCATGTCTCCCCTAGTCCTTCTTTTCATTAGACTAAACATACCCAGTTCCTGCAACCGTTCTTCATATGTTTTAGCATTTTCCATGACACGTTAATTTTGTCCATTAGCTCAGAATGGCAAGGAGATGGAAACAGGTATATCAGCCTTACCTGGTAGACCAGAGGGGAATTAGCCAGGTAAGCTAATCATGATTTATGGTAAAGCTACAATTCTCCTGCCATCAGCCCAAGAACTTCGGGAGTGCCTTCTGAGCATTTTTCTCCATCCATTATGTACCTGTGTCCCTCCTATCTGACCACTCCTTAGGCGGCATTTCCCTGGCCCGTCTCCCAAGGTCATTCCAAAACACCATTACAAGACGTGCCTTCTGAAATGACACAGCCCTACTGGGATTGAATTTTCTTTTGCTTTCTCCAAACATGCTGATATTAGCTCATTTTCTTTAAGTCAGGTGTAGGCAATTCCTTCATGGTCAAGAATCCTTCATATAATGAGTTGGGTAGATGTTGACTCTCAACTGATGCAAAGTGGGAAAGATATGTTAAGTCAGGTTCAGTGGGAATTTTCTGGATATGGGGGAAGAGACCGGAAGACATTCTTTTGCACTTTTAGCTGTGTCTTCCGCATGAGAATGAGAGGAAACTAGACCGCTGTTTTTCTTCCAGCAATTTTCAAAATGCCAACAAAATCTGACATATTGAACACAGTTGGAAGCTGAGTATTTAGTTGCCTATCCCTGTCTTAAGTGCAGTTGGGCAGTTGCAGGCATCCGTGGACTCATTCCAACTATACAATTTCTATATATAAAAGCAAAAATCCTTATTCCTAAAACAATAAAATATCTTGCTGAAGCAAAGAATTTTAAAAGGCTCCATCTTTGGAATGTTCTACAAAAAAAAATTTTTTTAAGAAAAAACACCAAGCTCTGGATTTTATGTTTTAACTGAGAACTCTTCCATAGCTCTCTTGTGTAGAATGTGATACTTCTCAACTGTTATAAAATTGTCCTAAATTCTTTAAAAGATCTCCTTCATGGTGGGGTTCAATGAATTAGTGGCCCATCTTTAAAACTGGAGAATCCAGGATGCCTGTGACTGTCCCAATGACAACTGAGCACAGTTGTTATTTCCTGCTTAGTGAAGAAGGAATACCTGATGATGTGTGACATGTTACAATTGTTACTGTAATGCATTTGTGTATAAGGAAGGAGCAAAACTGCAGAGAGATTGACTTGGAAATGAAATGTGCATCAGCAAAGTTCTCGGAAGGAAGGATTCGACTCAGATAATGCAAGGCAGATAATATAAGGTAGACAGTGTAGACCATTGCTTTCATTCAAAGAAAAACACCTGGGAGATGAAGGTCTGAAACTTTTCCAGCATTTTCAGGACAACATGGATTCCCCAAATCAGCAACAACCAGCTGACAGATAAGAGTTAAGCCTATATTCAGCATAAACAAGCAATAGTGGTAT